GATCATTTGATATTTTACGTACATTATATGGCTTAAAATAACATCAACAAAAAAAATCCATTGCTAATGATTAGCAAAATAGTCATTTTTCAAACTGCCCGAAAAACCACCTCATGCAAGCATAAAACCTTTTTTTATTTTAAGATATATTGACGATATATAGATCTTAGCTTCCATTATCCATAGTATTTCAATTCATGATTTCAGTTTGTGCAATTTAGAGGGTAACGTGTAATCAGAGTTTACTAATGAGCTCTGTTAGACCACCGACACAGATTAATAAAAATCACCCAACCAGCAAACAGAAGCAAATAATCTTCAGATATTGTACTTTGGGACCATTTTGATGGAGTGTGTGTTAATGGTCTTTTTCTCTCTGTCTCCCTCTGGTCAGATGTCATCTCTAGAGCAGGACGGAGAAGAGGTGATCGGTCAAGCCCGCTGCCCTTTCGAGTCCCGCCAGTCCAACGTTGGCCTGTTTGCCGGTGAGTTGGCAGAGCAGCAGTCGTCTAGGGAGGAACACAGGAAATCTCCTATAATCTCACTGGTGTTACACTGACATTTGACAAAGCGCAGTGAGACGGCAACGATCACAGACGCACAGAGATTCAAACAGGACACGAGGGAGATGAGACACATCCCTCTTTTTTTCCTCTTTGCGTCATATACACACTGAAACTCCACTAAGCTGCTCTTTGAAGGGTTTGTCTCGTTTTGATTCATCAATAGCTGTTTTTCACCTCACTTCCCAGGCGGTGACTTCTACTCAGCCACGATGACTGATTTTCTAGCGAGCGATGCAGTGATTTACCGAAGTTTAGGAGAAAGCAGTCCTGTCCTGCGTACTGTAAAATATGACTCCAAGTGGCTGCGAGGTGGGTCCCGTTCTTGAGTTTGTTTATGCTATCATTTAAGGGGTGTTTATGGTGATTTTGTCTGTGTGTGTTTAGAACCGCATTTTCTTCATGCCATCGAGTATGGGAACTACGTGTACTTCTTCCTCAGTGAGATTGCAGTGGAGTATACCACCCTTGGCAAGGTCAGGCATTTCATCTACACTGCAAAACAAAATATAAAATCACAAGAAAAAATAAAAAAATGAAACATCCTTAATAAAACAGGTTTTCCATATATTTTAAATACATATTTCACTTCAGAAATTTGTAAACATTTACTTTAAGTACTTATAATAAATAGTTGAATCAAAATGATTGGCCCTGCTGTGAAATTGGAGTTCTTTTTCTAACATTTCCCATGTGCTGTCAAATGTTTCGCATTTTTTAACATAATAGTTTTATAAGTAAATTCTAATAATAGATTATTTTCTTGTTTTTGCAATGACGACAGTACTTAATATTTTCAAAGTTATTTTGCAAGATACTAGTAGTTAGGTTAAAATGCAGTTTAAACTAGTTTAACCCTTTAACTGACTCACCAACAAAAAAATTGGCTCCTTATGTCGCTAATTAACATACTCATTGCATTTTTTTTTCAACACATCCCATAATTTCTAGAATATCAACCATTTGGTAGAGATTGATATTTCGGTTTATGGTATAAGTACCGGAATTAATATACATATACTATGAAAGATCTGAAAATTTGAGGTGTAAGACCAATTTATTTAAAAAGAATCAAAATAAAACATTTTTGAATACTAAATCCTCTTTATTTTTTAAATAAAATATATCCGATTGTCATTTAATTCTCATTTACAATAAACTCAAACTCAAGTGTAGTAGGGCAACAGGATTATGTTTGTTTGATTCTCTTGTAAACCAACAATGCTGTGTAGTGCAAACCATTATTTAAAAAAAGGGTCAATCTTTAAAACAGTCAAAATATGGTTAACCATTTGGTAGAGCAGGCAGTTAGATGGTTAATTAGGATAAAGTTGGGTTAATTAGGCAAGTTTTTGGATGAAGGCCCCGGTATAGTTCAAACTAAATCAAAAAAGAACTCAAATTGTTATTTTGAACCAAATGTGGCCACAACAAAGTTCTTTTTAAGTTTGTTTCGGCAGTTTAAAGCAGGGGAGTTTGTTTTATTCCTAAACATCATTGAGTAGGGCTGAACAATACATCCTTTGAGCTTCGATATTGCAATAGTCACATTGCAGGATTATACTGGATATTTATTAAAGATTAAAAGATAAGGATATTATTAAATTATATTTTTATATTATTGTATAAAAGTATTTATACAGTGATGACCATGTTATTTTATGTTTGATTGTTTAATTTTTGTATTTGAATACTGTTAGACCTTCCAGAAAAATGCTAAAAAAATAAGGCACTGTTTATTAAACTTTTATTTTTGCTTTGTCGTATTTATATATGCTTGTATTTTATTATATGTGATCACCCCGATCAATTTAAATTCATTAAGTCTTTGCAAAAAGAGCTTATCAAATCATCTAATGAAATTACAGTCATATCGCAACATATATATTACAGCGAAACAAGAAATATCGCAGTGTCAGATTTTTCCAATATTTTGCAGCTCTACATTTAAGCTACCATTGGTTCATCATGATTATACAATCGGTGGGTGTGCCTTGAATCTCCACCTTTTGACTTGCATCTTATTCTTGCAGTTCACAGTCAGACAGGAGAAAACATCCAGCACAAAAATGACATATTAGCAACTTGAATAAGCTGCAGGGTGGCCTATCAGAGCTGGTACACATGAATTTGCACCTTTACTATTATTCACTGAGAGACTTGGATGGTTTCACGTGCCAGACAAGAAGCACAGCCACATCATGCCACCTCTTGTTTTTGAAACTGTTATTCACTCTCTGCCACCATTGTTGTTGTGTTCAGCAGTATTCAAGCATATTTTTCAAATTGACCAGCCTTTACTTTATGCTGGTGGCTGTCTTTTGCCCCATTGACTTTCATTATAACCACATTTTTTTATTGCGAAGCCATGCAACAAATAATCATGCATTCTTGATTGTTGGTGGTTCCCTGTGGGAAAAGGTACAATTTGTCTTTTTATTGTTGTAAAAGAAACAGTAAAAAATATACAATAATATAATGTAAAGGTTTTGCAATCTTAAGTCACTGGGGCAAAAACAGCCACCAACATAACAAAAGGGTAGTTTGTTTGTTCAGTGTGTATTGAGATTTTAATCATTTTCAAAGCATTTTCCCAAAATATGTGTCAAAATAATTGTCTCCAAAAATCATTCCATTTGCTGAAAAACAGTGAAAGTTGTGAGAGAAATATAAGAGTGAAAAAATAAATGTGAAAAATAAAAATAAATGTGCTTTCCTTAGGTGGTGTTTTCCCGAGTGGCTCGCGTGTGTAAGAATGATAACGGCGGTTCTCCACGGGTTCTAGAAAGATACTGGACGTCTTTCCTGAAGGCCCGGTTAAACTGCTCAGTTCCTGGTGACTCTTTTTTCTACTTTGATGTTCTTCAGTCATTAACAAACGTCATGCAGATCAACCACAGGCCTGCAGTGTTGGGCGTCTTTACCACTCAAGCCAACAGGTACTGAATCCCAACACCCTAAGTTTTTGTGTTTCCATGCACTCTTCAACAAATGCTAAGCCTATTATGATAAAGCTTAATGAATTGGTTTGTTTGAAAGAGAGTTTTTTTGTCCTCTTCTCAGCATCACTGGTTCTGCTGTATGTGCATTTTACATGGATGACATAGAGAAAGTGTTCAATGGGAAGTTTAAGGAGCAGCGAAACAGCGAGTCCGCCTGGACACCAGTTCCTGATGAAGCGGTGCCCAAACCCCGGTAAGTCATGTTTTGTTTTGTTTTGTTTTGTTTTGTTTTGTTTTGTTTTGTTTTGTTTTGTTTTGTTTTGTTTTGTTTTGTTTTGTTTTGTTTTGTTTTGTTTTGTTTTGTTTTGTTTTGTTTTGTTTTGTTTTGTTTTGTTTTGTTTTTTTTGGTTTTAGTTTTGTTTTTGTTTTTAGTTTTGTTTTTGTTTTTAGTTTTGTTTTTGTTTTTAGTTTTGTTTAGTTTTTTTGTTTTGTTTTGTTTTGTTTTTCGTTTTGTTTTTGTTTTTCGTTTTGTTTTAGTTTTGTTTAGTTGTTTTGTTTTGTTTTTGTTGTTAGTTTTGTTTTTAGTTTTGTTTATTTTTTGTTTTGTTTTTGTTTTTAGTTTTGTTTTGTTTTTTGTGTTTGTTGTTAGTTTTGTTTTTAGTTTTGTTTAGTTTTTTTGTTTTGTTTTGTTTTGTTTTTTGTTTTGTTAAAAACCCTGAAAACAGTTACTGGCTTTTGCACAAACCAAAAAATAAATAACTTTACTTTTGTTGCTTTTGCTACATGTTATAGTTATAACAATTAATTTGAAAAAAATAGAACTTTTTATTTTAATGAAACACAAATACAAAGTTTAGACTGAAAGAAATATTGCTAATATTTTTGATTAGGAAAAAAACTAATGAAATATAAGCAAAAGCACAAATAAATTCAATAAAATGAATGTACAATTAAAAAACAATTTATTATTCAAATGCTTTTTTTTTTCTTTTATTAACATTTAACACATATACCAGATTTCATATTAGGATGCAATCAGTTTAAGATGTATGGATCCAATATAGTAATAGATTCACATCCAGTTCATTTCTTAGTTGCTTACATTCACCTATCATAACCAACTGTATTTGATACTGCTTTCCAAGATTATTGGCATGATTTTGTACTTTTTGTCCCTACTTAAACAAAAAGATCTGCATGCTGTATGAAACCTGGCTCGCTCTGTGTGTGTTTTTCTTGTTCACATCATTGTATCATAATAGTATTGCAATAACATGTCACAAGATTACAGTTTAGACAACATTATAGTTTACTGTATTTTTGATTAAAAAAAAAAAAACTGCAACATCCCTAGAGTAGCATGAGCACATCACACAAAGGAATATATTCATGAACTTATCAAACAAAATGAAATCTCACTTACACACTCAGCTGACAAAGAATAGACTTCCTTGTCATCTTGCTTCGCGTGATATGCCTGTTTTCTGGAGCTCAGAGAGCAGCTTGTTTGGCCTGACGGACTCTTAAAACAGCTTCTATTTAACAGCGGCAGATGGCTGGAACGGATCTTGTTAACTGTATGTGTACGATCTGTTTTTGTTGATCATTTCACTGAGCCACAGTAAAGTCTGTGCAGGTTGATATCAATTGTTTTCTCTCTCTCTCTTTCTCCAGGCCAGGGTCGTGTGCTGGTGATGGCCCTGCTGCTGGTTACAAGTCCTCCACAAATTTCCCTGATGAGACTCTTACCTTCATTAAGTCTTATCCACTAATGGACGAGGCTGTGCCGTCTGTCAACAACCGACCCTGCTTCACACGAACCACCAGCAGGTTCGCACACAAACACACACATACGCTCCAAGAGAAATTAGACACTCGTCCACTCATTATTTTCGCACTCTCTCTTTATTTCCCCAGTTGTTTCTTTAACATCTGCATGTCTTTCTCCAGAGGAGCAAGCTGCCGTTATTAGTGTTGGAGAATAAATGAGCACTTAGCTGTTGGGATGAAAGACAAAAGTTTTTTTTTGTGATTTTTATTTTGTCAACTAATTGGCTTATGTTCCTCATGTAGGTTCAAGCTGACCCAGATTGCAGTGGACACGGCAGCTGGCCCATATAAGAACTACACTGTCGTGTTTCTGGGGTCAGAAAATGGACATGTCCTGAAGGTTTTAGCTAGCATGCATCCAAACTCCTCGTACAGCACTCAGGTTTTGGAGGACATCGATGTTTACAACCCTAACAAGTGAGTTAGAGAGCAAATATGCACACTGTTTTTGATGCAGTGTGTGGTGTATTGTTGTGGAAACCTCAAACTGGTTGCTTTTCATGATATTTGAAAGGGAATGTTGGTAATGTTGGTAATGTGGTTTACATATGGTATGTAATGATTAATTAACGGTTGGATTTTTTTCAAATGGAGCATTTTGATGATCAAAAATCTAACTTATATGTTTTTTCCATCATAAGAATGATCACAAAATTAGTGATTTTAAACACTGTCATAACTATGTGGAGCACAGCTTTTTTACATTTTTGATTATACATTGCTCAGCATAATTGAGTACACCCCATGTTGAAAATGAATATTTTTATCCATTTCGTTTTAAACGGAACAGATGTATTAAAATGATATATTTATTAAAATAATATTTTAGTCACCAAACATATTTAGAAATTAAATTCAAGTAAAATATTGCAAAAAAATTACAATCTACATAATTTCAAATACATTTTTCTTCTTTTTTTTTCCTCTTGATTTTTCTTTTTTTATTTGTATTTCATATTTTTCTGTAACATTTAAATGTACAGAAGGTGTAGTAGTTTTTGGATCATTATCCCAAGTTATTTTGTTAAGTAAGCTACAGATTTGGTTTCAGTACTGACTAATCTAATGTATATGCAAAAGTATAATATTGTATAGCTTCCTATTAAAAGTATGAATTTAAAATATAGATCTGTGAGGGGTGTACTTCCCAGTCGTGGGTTGCAGCTGAAAGGGCATCCGCTGCGTAAAACATATGCTGGATAAGTTGGCGGTTTATTCTGCTGTAGCGACCCCAGATTAATAAAGGGACTAAGCCGAAAAGAAAATGAATGAATGAATACACCACTGACATGTACTTGCAAAGTTTCTTATAGTCAGTAATATGTCTGTTGAAGGAGCAGTATCAGCAGATGTCAAGCAGACAGTCTAGTCTAATTGTAGAATTAATTGGCATGTAGTTGCAATGCAACCTTTAGTCAACAAAATGTGCAATAGGGTCCATCAAAATAAAGTATTACCAAACTATTTGCTAATGCTTAATAAATGATTTATTGTGTGCAGATATTATAGTGCTGGCAATTCTTTTTTACTTTAATAAGTAAGTAAGGAAAAATTGCTGATAGACCAATGAAATCTTACAAAATAGCACACAATGATGATCAACGTGAAAGCAGAATGGAGTAGACTGTTAAACCTCAGGTGTGCATTATTATTTTTAAGAATTCAACAGACCACAGTTAATTATTCTGTGTTTTCACTATGTTTACCACACCTGAAGACATTGTTCAGGATCAGATGTTGTATTCGGTGTAATAATATGGAACACTAATGTGGTTAAGACCTGCATGTAACTACTTAAGTTGTGTGTTTCCATGAAAATGATTACAAGTGATTACCTTAGAATGGTTATTAGACAAACAGAATTAAGCATTCAACTGCTCCATAGTATTAATACTGTATGTATATGTCCAATAGTCAAACAATAAGGCTGACCGGTAGAATGGAAAATGTTGAGAACAAAGGCTGGAATGCAGACTCAGTCAACACCAATAAGATGTTATTTTGTTTTCCTACACCGAAGGCAAAAATACATTTTGATGTTTAATATGCAAACAGCTATACACTTTTAGACTAATTACCTTTACTGTGGCAAGGATACAATAGACTTTATTGAGTGTTACAATAGAGGTTCTGGATTTATGAATCCCATTCTTTTTTTTCATAAAGGTATTGATTTTTTTTTTTTTTTTTTTATGGTATAATAAAATAAAATGTAAAATAGTCCTACTGTGAGCTACATAAATTAGGAAGTACCATATTGGAAATCTATAAATGCATTTTATATAAACTGATTTAGTTTAGTTATATCATGGGACTGAAGTTCTTTCACTGTTTAAAGTTTCTGTGAACCATATTTTAGAATTTGTTTGCCTCAAATGGACAAGTGTTTCCCCTTATAGCTGACTGGAATGGTTCATGGTTTATAGGGCTTTAACAAAGATTTTAAACAAATCTTTGTTAAAGCCCTATAAACCATGAACCATTCCAGTCAGCTATATCCCTATTGAATCCCGAATGAGGAATAAATGCCTAAGGATTGACAGTCAGAAACCCCACCTATTAGTTAAAAGAATCCATTATCACTAATCAAGTATGCCTTTATTTAGATAGTAATGAATGAGACAGACAGGAAACAGTGGGTGAGGAGAGAGAAGAACAGGGCTGGGAAAATATCCTGAGGACTAAAATTGCCTGAGGTGCCAATGTGCCATATGTCAGAACACTGCTCATGAGTCCATCACTGTGATGCTGATGAACCGGACAAGCCTAACAAGTAGTATGAAGTTAATAAGTCAATTGTGAATGTCGCTGAAGAAGCCATACATTTGATGCAGATGTTGTCAGATTTGAGTTATTTAAAATGTGACATTTTTCGAGATTTATTCATGTAGTACCAATATTATTTTTAACTGGACTGGTTTTCCTTAAAGAATACACTGGATGAATCTGTTACTTTTGCCAGTTATTTTGTATGTAGTTAGGTTTTGTATTTGGTTTTTGCTGTGTCTGCCTGCTTAGAAAACTTGAAAAGATAACATGTAGCCAATTTGTTACTGCATTGTGCAAATACTGCAAAGTTGTGTTTGTCAGCATCATGTTGTGATATTCACACTGACCAGCACAGAATGACATTTTAATTCCCATTGATAATGTTGGGCTGCAATGTCAAGTTGGGGATAACCAGGGTCGCCCTCAAGGGTGGCCACAGCCACCCCTATGTAAACTCTGGCCATATCTCTGGCCACCCCAATATGATTTTGCTGTTGATATTATTAATTTAAATGTACTTGCGTGAATTCAGAATATTTCAATAAATAAATAAATGTTAGCCACTAAATTATTGTGGATTAATTGGTCCCACTGACGTAGCTGATTCACTGCCCCTCCCCCTCCACGATCATCATTGACAGCATGCACACATCTTCAATAGACAGCAATGGCAATTTAATATTTACCTTAAGGTACAGCAATAGAAGAAGCTGTATTAATAATGTTGTTGCTCAGAAAGGAATTTGGATAAATGTGTGTATAGTAATGCCTTTTGCTCAGTTTGTTCATTTGTTTGTTTTATTAATTAATTAATCTTCATTAACTTTAGACATGGCACATACTGTATGTGGAAAAACAACTGAAAAGTCATATATATATATATATATATATATATATATATATATATATATATATATATATATATATATATATATATAAGTGTTTTTAAAATAAATATACATTTTTTTTGGTTTGCACATGTAGCTACTTGTTAAATTATTTCAAGGAATAAATTGCAATAGTTCAAGATTTATTAACTGAATGATTTAAAACCACATTATTTCATTTACCAGTAACAAAAATATAACATTACACTAAATTCTTTTTTTTTTCTGGCCACCCCTAAGAACATTTTCTGGGGGCACCACTAAGGACAACGTACAGGTTGTTATCCCAGAATAAATCTTTTCTGGCTTATCTGTTGTATAAAGGCTGATATATACTTCTGAGTCAAGTGATTGGTGTAACCCACGGCCCCTGCCTTGCGCATAGTCATTTATTTATACCTCTGCGTGCTGTTTGTGTTGCTCTGCAATAACACTTCTGAGATGCTAGCTGGCAGTAGGTTTTTAGGTGCTCTGTTACAAGATTGCACTAAACAGTCAAAAACACAAAGATGACAGAAACTAAACTGGCTGAATGGAACTGAAGGAGCATACAATAACCTACAATAAAAATATTAAGTATTAATACAGTAAAAGTATTCACTGACAGGTAAGATAATTAGAAGTACCCCGGACGAACCTGTGTTATTTAATGGTTGTTACCTTGAAAAAACATACCTTGGAATTTTGTGACTGACCAGCCGGAATCAAGTAGTCCAGGCAGTAATAAATAAATGAATGTAAATAAATGTGAGAGGCTTCGACATTAAAATGTGGAAACAACTTTAAATACATTAAAGGCATTAGCTCAAGGGCCAGTTTTGCACTGTAAGTGTGGTGCATAGCTTTTGCTACCTAAAGTATGGATAAGTACCAGCCATTCATGATTCAGCTTAAGAGAGGTGTAAGATGAGCAGCAGCATTTAAAGAAACATGCACCTAAATGGCTCTCTATGAACGGAGGTTTCTATAGCAGTGTAAAAGGGTGTTTATTTAAACTACAACTGAGATCTTTTCACCACAGTAAGTTAAAGACTTTTCATCAAGATCCTAATAATTCATATCAACTTGTTAAAAAATGGGCATCTGATGTTAAATGATGGTCTTTAAAATGGACTTCATGAATTGTCAGCACCACAAACCAAGCAGCAGATTTTGTAAAATGCAACTTGTCTGAGAAAACACAGTTTCACCAGGAAGCTTTTCTGTAAACTCACTGTCGCCATTCTGCTCTTCTTTTGTGCTCTTTACACTCATTGACAGGTCTCGGACAGATATAAATGTGCACACACATAACCTCAAATTCAGTGTCGACGGAGGTGTTTGATTAAGAGAGAGTCTCTCCTGCAGTAAACGGGACGGTTGGTATGTGTGGAGCTGTAATTGTACTCCTGGGATCTCGCCCATGTTTGTGCGCCTCTTGTGTATCTGACAACACGCCTCAACTCCAGCTGAGACTCACAAGTTCCACAACAAAATGTGACCACATCTTCACGCAGCATTGCTCAGTTTTTCCCCTGAAAACCCCTCCTCGCGGCGCCGTTAGCCTCTGGGAAAGACACTTACATTGATGCAAAGGATTTATTTAGAATATTACAGATATTGAGAAAGATGAATTGCGTTCAACTTTTACGCCATGACCTTCTTCAATCAGCTCAATGGGGTGACTCATCTAATATCGGATTTCTTTCTATATATTTTTTTTCGTTCTTTCTTTTATTGGGGATTGCTTTTTGCTTTCATTAGAGAGAAAGGTTTACCCCCGACCTTAAAAACTACTTCAATTCACCCTTTGAACACAAAATTGAATGTATTAAAATTGCTGAGCTACTCTTTTCTATAAAATGAAACCTATTTTGAGTAGGAAGACACAAAAATGAGGAGACTTTTTTCCCCTATGACTACTAGACATTAATTTTTATTTCCACCCACTTATTCAGCAGCTTTTTTCTAGAGATATTTGTAATTTTTGTCCTTAAGCAAAACAAACAAACAAACAAACTCTGATTTGAAATAAAGCACTATATGAAATGCAAAAAGACAAGACTGTGTATTCACAGGTTTAATAGAAGAGGAAAAATAAACTGCAATACTGTGGAGCATAGTGATTGATGCAATTAAATAAAATAATATGCAAGTTTAAAAAACAATATGTAGTTTCCAGTGTTTTTTTTGAGTGGGTGGATGGTACCATCAAACCCAATTGTTTTCTTTAAATTGGTTCGGTTCAACAAAAACATTTACAGTCCTCAGACTTCATCAGTGGTGTAAAGTAACAAATTACAAATACTCAAACTACTGTAACTAAGTATTTTTTCTCAGGAATTGTAATTTGCGAAGTAGTTTTAAAAATGTGTACTTTTACCTTCCCTTGAGTACATTTATAGTGTTGTATTGTTACTTTTACTCCACTATTTTCCTTCAACCTGCAGTCACTACTACTATTTTTTCTTGTCTATGGGGATTAGAAAATCAGTCCTGTGATGTCCAATCAAATTGCGTAGTTATGATTTTTCATACTTATTCAACCACTGGAATTCATAACAGTTTAGTCTTTGGTTTCAAATTTATTACTAAAAATCTAATTTTATTGGAAAATAAAATCATCTTGGGGCAATTCATTCTGATATGGTGGTGCTTCACAAATAACAAGAATAGCTCAGTCCCAATTCGCATACTTGCATGTATACTACGAACTAAAAGTATGTACTTTTTTGTGAAGGAAGTATATATATATACTTTTGAGTATGTAACAGAAGAGCATGCAAGCTTTGGGACAAGCTTCCTTGTTAACAGATTGTTATGTTGCTTGGAGCCCAGCCATTTATCCAAAAAAAAAAATACTTATAAATTAAATCATTTTTAAAAAATGATAATAATAGTAAATAATCCATTGATTAACTACATTTATTTGATAAACGTAATTGTAAACTTAAAAATTTATTTGTGGAACATCTTATTGTACTTAGATGTCGCCCAAGAGGCATCCACTCAAAATATTTGTTTAAGGGGTGTGTGCTATCTCCTGTTATTTTATGTGCCATCCTCAGTACCCCCTGTTTGTAAAAGGATGCAATACTTCGCAGGGGAACGCCAAATGTTTTGGAGCACAAATTAACAAAGCCTTAAAGATAATTCTAGATTTTTTAGACACTAGACAGTGAGGAAAACCAGCAAATAAAGCGAAAGAACAAAATACTTTCAACAAACAAATTATAAAAGGTCTTAAGAATAACTCTCTTTGATGAGCCTTAAATATTTGTTTGTGTGTTTTAGGGTTAGTTTACATTATTGTGTAATATTTACATTATAAGTAATTTTGCTGTGTTTTTACTTATTTTTATACTGTTTTAAATAATTTTATTTCACTTTTAATCATGTTTGAAACTCAAGCTATGCTAAATGAAAATGTAAAATGTCTTCTTGGGAACTGTATGAAATTATATTAAAATATTTCAGTTACTTAATAGGCGTTCAGCAGACCTTCAATTATTGAGTGAACAAAATAACCTTTTATTTTACATTTTAATTAATTAAAATAATCCTGCATTTTACAAGTTCACAATAATGGTTCAAATTAATTCCATTCATTTGTCACTCTACAAACCAAAGGTCATATTTAGAGCATTCCACTGTGCTGTGCTGCTCTCCATGCAGTGGTTATTAATATTTTATGGACTTGTATGGTACTTTCAAGCCATCTTTAATAACTTAACATACTTTTCTCCTCAGATGTAATGTGCGTGGGGAGGACCGGAGGATTCTGGGATTGGAGCTGGATAAAGACCATCATGCCCTGTTTGTGGCCTTTACAGGTTGCGTAATCCGTGTTCCACTCAGTCGCTGTTCGGATTATGGAATCTGCAGAAAGTGAGTGATACATTGTACACAAAACCAATACCCACAATCCCATTAAATATACTGCATATTACATGTCAGATCACATAATACAGTGTATAGAATCCTACTCCTTTTAAGGGTTTTTTTTAGTGTCTATAGACCATTTTGGGGGATGTAAACAAATACAATAGTCCCAACGTATTTTCTGTTTTAATTCGGACTGCAAAAACAGCCTCACTGTTAACTACAGAAATTACTGTGGCCTAAATTTCCAATCACTGCATGTCAACTGGGTCAACTGGCAACGTTTTTGTATAAAGCAAATAGTCACACAAATGTAAAGGTCATGATGACTCTAATAACCAGCTTGCGCGTGCCTCTTGTCTGTGACTCGTACTGTATCAAAGTCACACAAGTTCGTTAATTAACAAACTGTGCGTTTTCTTTTTGTGTGAATACATCCATAATATCCGCATAGTTGTCCAAATTTATCGCCTGCGAATGTTTTATAACGAACGTGCGCCCATAGCTAGACTCTAAGGTGTTCCAGTAGCTGTTCACTTTTCCTATCAGTGAACTCCAATAATGTCCAGCTACAGATCGATATGTTACAATAGATTTAGAAGGTTTTTAAACTTTATTTAACATTTAGGGTCAGGGTTAGGTTTTTTATATTAATGGATATAGATCAATAGATGAATAGAAGTCAGCCTAATTCAAAGCAGCAGCGATTTTTTTTTTTTTCTCCCATCTGCTGTAGTCCTGTCAGGTTCCTTTATACTTTGCAGTTGTAAAGAATAACTGAAGAATTAAGGAGCTTTGAACCTGTCTGCGTTTAAAAAAAATTTAAATACACAATATTATATTTTATATAATATAAAAAAAGATATATAATGTTTTCTGCTACATTCATTTTTTGATTTCTTTGTTTATATATATGTACGTGTGTGTGTGTGTGCGTGTGCGTGTGCGTGTGTGTTTGTGTGTTTGTGTGTTTGTGTGTTTGTGTGTTTGTGTGTGTGTGTGTGTGTGTGTGTGTGTGTGTGTGTGTGTGTGTGTGTGTGTGTGTGTGTGTGTATGTATGTGCGTGCGTGCGTGCGTGCGTGCTTGCGTGCGTGTGTATAGTGTTACCTCTTGGTTGTTTTCCAGCTGTGGCGGTAGACCAATGTTTTGTTTTGTTTTGTTTTTTTAATAAAATTATGTACAAAAATAAGGGAATAATAGACGGTAAAAGAAATGTTTTGCTAATAAATAAAGCTTTAAAATAAGAATTTTCTCAAGACAATCAGTTTGGGTCTTCAAAAAATTTTGGAAAAAAAGGTTGAGAACCCCTGATCTATACTATTTTAATCAAGCAAATTCACAAGTGTTTCTGTCATAGCAGTTTCAAACATGAAGCTGGATCCAGTATGGTAAACTCTATTGACGATGCAGTGCAGCAGCTCAGCCCTGAGAGAAAAATTTATGACAGTTGTGCAAGAATCTTCTAAAAAGTCCTATGCGCCGGTTCTCTTTTGATCTATTATGGATACATTCTCCATAAGTGCGCTGAAAGTGGTGTGTGTTTCCAACGACATGCATTCTTAAACGCATTCAAATTTAAACACAGATGCATTTTAGAGGGCAAAAGGTTTTGGATTGTAGCTCAGTGATGGAAGATAACTCTGAAACGTGCCGCCGTTGATGTAGACGTGTTTCCTCCATCACATGCTCAGTCCTCCAGCCAGCATCACCACATGCTTTGACTACTCACACGCAAATTAGAGCCATCTGATTGGCCACAGGCCACGACAAAGCAACCGGTTTCTTTTTTCCACACAGCTGTAGCATGAGCTGTGTTTCCTTTTAAAATAAGATCTCCAAATCCTATCAGGGAATTTCAGTCTTTCCAAAAACAATCCCGATGTCTGATCCAGCCGTGCCTTAACTTTTTACCAATCTGTTAGCTCATGCCTGCTCAGCCTCAGGAGAAACACTCACATGGGATTCTCTGTGGACTTGTGAGAAAACATCTCTTTTTTTTCCCCCCTTAGATTTTTTTCACTGAATTGTTTTCGCTCATGTTGAGTGCTGGATGCAAAAGCAACAGTGTTTGTTTAAATTCAGACTGTTGTTTTTTTTTTTACTTTAAAAGAACAGAAAAAGTTTGCTGTGGTCAAAAAAACGTATCAAAGGTTTTCAAATGTACGTGCATCATCAAACAGAATTGCAGAAACAACAACAGTTGTTTTCAAAGGAGGTTTCCTGTCAAACAGATGCTGTTGGTTGAGCGGATTTTGCAACATCATGCTGGTCACAAGGTTTTATAAAACAACAAAGACACACTGTTTATACCAAAAAATCAAGTACATTAAGAGTGCAAAGATATTATCAATAAGAGAGTGTGAGTGTTAGAAAGACAGAATAGTGGTTTTGTATTTAGAAATAGATAGAAAAAAATAGAACAGGAAATGTTCATTTTTTAAGTACACAGAATAGAAAATAGTTAATGATAAAAGTTAAAGTGCTGTCTTGTTTAATGATAAGACATGGTTTTATATTTGAAAAAGTATATACTGTACTTTGGTTACAATAAATATCTTTGCTCAATGAAGCCCACATTTTTTGTATGTATAAATATTGTCATGTGTTTTGATCAAAACTATTTTGGAGTCAATTCAAGCAGTGTGTACTCCCCTCTATTCTTCGAAAGTCATAAAGAAAGTGGAAAAATTGTATCCATCCAATCTATTGCATTGAGTGGAAGGAGAGTTCACCTTATCATGAGCAGGATTAAACCGAAATTCAACATTTATTTCAGCAGATCAGTGGTGATTTGATGCTTTGCCTGTGATGCTGCAGCTACATAATGAAACTAATTTCTGTAAATAAAGTAACCCTGAGATACACTGTATAAAATACCTGTTAATTATCAGTTTATGTATTTTATGTTTTCCATCTATTTACGGTTGTGAATTGCATTTTAGGATGTTGATCTCTGCTCTGTCAACTTTGGATGTTGAAAATTCAACTCTACTACAGTTTAACAAAGTTACTTTTATTGACATTTTAGAAGCTTGAAATAATATAATGTATAAGAAATAATATGAAAAAAATAAATGAAAATGTAAAATAACAGAAAATCTACTGAAAGCTTATTACATGGTTTTTGCAGCATAAAATACAACACCAGCCCAGACAATATAGAACTTTAAACTATTAAAATTGTAATTTTTTTCCAACTTTTTAGGTTTAAAGTTGTCAGAAGAAAGATCAAAGTCTCATACTGGAATTCAAAAGCATAAGTAATAAAAAATAAATAAATCACAAAGTATGGAGAACTGTTAATTTACTGATATTTTTTACAGTGCACGCATGAAACATTGGCATGAAAAAAGGTGCGCAGCAGGCATTAGAACTAGCACACAATACAGCAGTGGTTAACCATCCACCACATTCTGTCTTTATATCACACTCTTTGTAATAAAGTGCTCTGCTCTCAGAGTGACAGCATTCTGGATTTTGGCTTTTGCTTGTATGGTGGCTCTGGATTGTCATACACCTTTAAAATGATTTCTACAAACATGAACACAGAAAAAAAAATGTAACCCGAAGTGCTCTCATGTTTATGATAAGACAAGGATTAAAGTTTCCAAAGTAGTGTATAAATGTGATTGACACGACGAAAGTTTTTTTTTTTTTTTTTTTTTTTTTTTTTGCAAAACATGCTAAACTTTTGATTAATATTTGTATTACACTACCTGACAAAGGCTTGTCGCCTATCCAATTTTTAGGAGCATCAAATAATAACTTGACGTCTTGTTGATCATTTGTCTTATGTGAAAGGCAAAGGCCTCTAGATTACACTTATTTTACCAAAAAAAATCTGATCATGCCTTAATTTTTAATTATTTAAATAGGACAAGAAGGTCTGACTTTGCTTAGACAAAAGTCTTGTCACTTAGCAGAAATAATGTAGAATATAGAATATAAAGTCATGTGGCAGTGGGAAAAAAAATATATTGTGTATTACTCCCATGAGCTTGTCCATTAATCTCTGCAATGACTCAAATAACGTATTAATAAAGTCATCTGGAATGCCAAAGGATGCGTTCTTGTAGGCCTCCCAGAGCTCATCAAGATTCTTTGGATTCATCTTCAATGCCTCCATCTTACCCCAGACATGCTCAATAATGTTCATGTCTGGTGAATGGGCTGGCCAGTTAGAGTACATTGACCTTTTTTTCTTTCCGGAACTTTGATGTGGAGGCTGAAATATGAGAAGGAGTGCTATCCTGCTGAGGAATTTTCCCTCTCCTATGGTTTGTAATGTAATGGGCAGCACAAATGTCTTGATTCCTCAGGCTGTTAAAGTTGCCATCCACTCTGCAAATCTCTCGCACACCCCCATACTGATTGTAACTCCAAACCATGATATTTCCTTCACCAAACTTGACTGATTTTCTGTGGGAATGCAGGTTCCCATAGGTCTTCTGCAGTATTTGTAATGATTGGAATGGCGTTAAACAGATATTTCATCTTTCTGATACTTTTCCAAATGATCAACTAAGTCAAGTTATTATTTGTTGCTCTTACAACCGAGATCGACAACTGTAATTTTGTCATGTAATGTATACTGTCAAGCTTAAAGCTAAGTAAGTTAAAAATTTAAAAGTAACATTTAAGTTAACATTAATGTTTAACATTATTGTTTAAAATGTCTTATGTTTAAAGTGTGAATATTATAGCAGAAATACAGTTTCAAAAGCCACCCAACCCTTATGTTTTGTTTTTATTTTTCCATTTAACTGGGAAAAGAGAAGGCATTTCATTATTTTCAACACATCTAACCTTTAACAATAGATAAACAATAGGTGAAAGGCCATAGCATGGTGAAATTAACAACCTGTGAAGAACAAAGAAATAACGGAAAGGCGGAAGTGACCTCACATATAGTCACCTCATGCATTTTGTCCTTTCTCCCACTTTCTTCCACTCGCTTTCCTTCTGTCTCACTATCCACTATCCTTGCCAGCTTCCCCATGTATTTGAATCTCAGTTGGCCTCTGGCAAACACAACACACCTGTCAATCATGCAACACAAATACACACACACACAAACACACACTCACACCTGATTCACCAGCAGTCTGTCACACACTCTCTCTCTCTCAGTCTGACCAGCGAGAGGCATTAATACTTTGTTATGGAGATGCCGTGTCTGGCTGTCCCTTCCAGCTTGTCACATACACTTGGAGAGAAATAGAGGGGAAGGGGAAATTGATGGGGGAGTATGGAGACAGTGAGCGAGGAAAACACACACAACCTTTCCAGCACATGTGGTACGAGTTAACTCTGGATGTATGTGTGTGTGTTTTTTAGGAGCTGCCTGTCCTCACGAGACCCCTATTGCATCTGGCTGAGCGCAGGGAACTGTGCCACGGTGGCGCCGGGATTCAAGTGAGTTAAAGCTACATCACGCGACCCTTCTATTAGTCCTGCCACAGTAAACGCTCTTACGCTTCGTTACAATGTAAGAGCCTACACGGCTACTGAATACTGTACACTAGTTTTCTGTGCAGAGCTCAGTGTGTTTCTACAGCATGCTTCATTGTCCCTAGAAGCTTACCGTACATTACTCTAAACATCCGTAAAACATCTGGTAAAAATCTGATGCTCGTAAAATGTCTTGAAGATTTATAGGCGAGGACACTTAGAGAATTTTGCTAGACAGTCTACATGGGGACCAGAATGACTTCATAGATAACGTTTGAAATGATTTTGTTGTTTAGCATGTTGGGTAATGCTTGACTGTACATTTTATGTTGTTTAATGCATTAACAGTTGATTCCTATATACAGTTTGCTTAAATGTTAACATTCAAGCTGTATATATGAACATCTGTCAATGCATACTAATATTCCAGAGTTTGGAATTGAGAATTTTTTGAATATTCTTCTATTTTTTATTTGATAAAAAGTATGTGTTAATATAAAGTATTGCTCTTTTCCAATTTAATATTCTTTTAAATGTAGTCAACTAAGCCCTGTAGTTTTTCAAAATAAAAATAAAAAATGACTGATTTTATGGTGGTAATTCCTAGAAATTTGCAGAAAATTTTGCAATTTTTTATATATATATATATATATATATATATATGTATACATACAGTCAGAATTATTAGCCCCTGCGAAATATTAATTTATATTTATTTATTTATATAAATTATAATTTATATTTATTTTTTCCCCCAATTTCTGTTTAACAGAGAGAAGTTTTTTTCAGCACATTTCTAAACATAATAGTTTTAATAACTCATTTCTAACAACTGATTTATTTTATCTTTGCCATGATGACAGTAAATAATATTTTACTAGATATTTTTTAAGACACTTCTCTACAGCTTAAAGTGACATTTAAAGGCTTAACTAGGCAGGTTAGGGTAATTGAGCAAGTTATTGTATAATGATGGTTTGTTCTGTAGACTATCGAAAAAATATATTGCTTAATGTGGCTAATAATTTAGACTTTAAAATGTTTTTTAAAAAAACTAAAAACTGCTTTTATTCTAGTCGAAATAGAACAAAAAAGACTTTTTCAGAAGAAAAAAAATATTAACAGACATACTGTGGAAATCCCCTTGCTCTGTTAAACATCATTTGGGAAATATTTGAAAAAAAAATTGAAAGGGGTGGGCTAATAATTCTGACTTCAAATGTATGTAAAGCAAAAATAATGTCCTTCAATTCGGTCACGTTCATCATCGAACCAATCTCCATCATTGTAAGCTGCTTGCTTTTCTGTTTGTTCCACTGCTCCGTTTGTTAGATGTTTGCTTCCACTTTCTTTTGCAGTCTGAAGTGCGTCAAACGCACAAAACGCCTAATTGACTCTGTGTCATTCACTCGATTTGCTCTACAGGCTGTCTAATAGCATTTTTGCATTGACTTCACATGTAAATTTCTCACACTTCATGCACGTCTGCTTACTGCACAGACTGCAAAACAATTTCCCCCATTCGCATGTGACAATCATGCGGGCTGTGCATGCAACGTCTATAAGTCATGTAGAACAATTAATTGCAAACTGAAATAAATCAAATTTGATTATATTTCATTGATTATATTTAGATTTGGAATTGGATAATTTGTAAGATTATTTGTATTTTTTGCAATTATTTTGCGTTTAAATTAAAAATTTTGCAGGATCGCAAATAACTGCAACTTTTTGTTGATTTTGAGTTGAATTCAGCAGTCATGGAATCACAAAAAACTAAGGGTCTGGTTAACTTCCGTGATTCAAAGCTGAATTTTTGAGAAAGATTTGAGAAACATTTCTTTATCAATGTTGAAAATGGTTGAATTTCTTAATATTTTTCTCAAAATAGCGATAAATACATGTCAAAACATTTTAAGTTATTGTTTTCTTTTGAACAGAAATATCTCATAAGATTAAACACATCTATACTTTCATTTTTAAATGATTTAATGCATCTTTGCTGAATAAAAGGATTAATTTCTTGGGAAATTCTTTCCGACCCCAAGGATTGAATGGAATTTGATTATCATGATGATTTAATTCTTCTATTTTTTATGATGTATCTTTGGAGGTCAGTTGATCTGATTTATTGTATTTTTAAGAAATTGCAGTTTAATACATTTCCTGAACTCATCCCCATCTCTCTCACTTTCTGTCAGATTTCAATAATCTCCTATCCCAGTGGGCAAAAAAAGACAAACATAAGCCCTAAAAGAAAATCCTTATAGCCTTTACAGTAAGTGCTTGCAGTAATCCCATTACCAGTTGTTTGCGATGACATCAGCGTTGTACTCATTCGCCCGGTCTGTTGTTCATTTAATCTACAGCTTCAGAGCAGATATATGTGCAGATATTTATCTCAGATAAACCTTATATTAAAGACAAACATACTTGTTTACAAGGGTTTGAATGGCACATTAACATTTGCAAATATTTGTGTAAGTAATGTCAAATAGTGCACACAGGAAGCCCACTGCAACTTTTGCAAACTAAATGTTTTATTAATGAGCATTTGCTGTTTTATAGTTTTAGGACAAGCAGAGAATAGACAGGAAACCAGACAGACAGAGAGGCAATGAGACATGACGTAGGTCAGATTTTAACCTTCATGGCTTTTTACATTTAATGTCATGAGCATATGTATCGTATTGCCCAGAGGGAAAAAGCCTGACTGTGAGCTGCATTGGGTCAAAATTGCACAGTTGAAAGAAGTTATAGATTACTAGTTACCCAAAATGATGTTTGTAAACACTTAGACATGCAGATATTCAATAATTCGATATTTTGTGGTAATGATATGCATGATATTGAAATTGTGGGTATACCTTAAAATACTATGAATATTTATTAATAGTATTTATTATTTTTTTTTTCACATTGTTATTTATTTATTTATTTATTATTAATAACTTATTTATTATTTAATAATAATGCTTTTTTGAAATTTTATGTATACCTTAAATTACTATGAATATTTAATAATAGTATTTATTATTATTATTATTATTATTATTATTATTATTCACAGTATTTATTTGTTTGTTTATTTATTTATTATTAATAACTTATTTATTATTTAATAATAATACTTTTTAGAGATATTCACATTGCATTTTCAGTGGTTTATAACCACGCCAAATGCTTAGAGCACTCAAACTTAAATTGAATGACAATTCATAGGAGGGCCTTTTTAACATTCAAGCACAATAAAAAGTGAAAACCTGATGTAACTGATGTACACAGACATTCTTCTCCAGAGTATCAAAGCTCCTTTTTGTTTCTTGTTGTAAATATTGAAGGGTAGTTTAAAATTCTAAAAAAAATACTACAATTTAATAATAGGCATAGTAATAAAAATTATAATTATTATTATGTTCCTATCAATTGTTACTTAACCAAAAAATATAGATCGCATAAGACAGAAGCAAAAGAGTTTGGGTAACTTTATTGACCTTACTGGCAATTGTTCTAGGGGAAAACTGTATATATTCACATTTACTTTAACATGTTTAATTTAGCCAGCAATATAATTTTACTAATTTGGAAATTTTTATACAAATCTTGATATGCATATGAGGAAAACCTTTTAATGAGACAATTTGAATTGAATATTAACAAAATACAGATGGTATAACACTGACTATAATCAAATGACCCTTGAATATTTGCAAAATTATAGCTTTAGTAAAAATAGAGCACTTACGGACACACTTCAACGTTTAAATTAGCCCCAGATATAATCCGCATGTGCGTTACTTTCGACTGCACACTGAGAGAAACTGAAAGTAACCCGAACATATACAGTAGTTATATATAGTACAGTACTTTTAACATCCAGTTTGTGGGAAGTCAAAACCACAAGTGGCTATATGCGATTGCACAACATTGATAGTGATTCAAAAAGATATATTTTGTTGGGCCGAATATATGGGCCGTTCTATTTTTTATATCCATTGCAGGCCGAATGGAGGAGAAGGGAGGACTGCAAATGCCAGGCAGTTTGAGACCCCTGGCTTAGAAGCTTAATTGTTTATCTTAATAGTTCAAACATAAACATTTTCACGTTAAGCCTTTTACATGCTAAAATATTGATTGAAAATTGTCGAAATGTTGATTCAAATTTGATTATTTATAAGGCTATTACTTTGCCATATGCAATAAAGCTTCATAAGTTAACTTTATTTATTCTAACTAAATTACTAAAGGAAACTATAAAAGCTTTTATTAATCTTAGGTTTTTATTAATTCCTCAGTCAACTGAGAAATTAATAAAAACCTCAGATTAATAAATAACATTAAAATCATAGTTGAACTCTGATTCGAAGTGTTCTGATTATTTTTTTGTTTAATAGAGTTAAAAATCAATATAATTCAGTTGTATTTTTAACTAATATTTACAAAAATCCAACCTTATCGCTTATTTGAATCCATTGACTAACATTTACTAATCAGTATTTGTGAATTCTATTGTACTTCATAAACATTACGCAATTATTTTTTTTTCAAAATGTTTGTTTATTTTGAATATGTATATACAATAAAGCATTACACTAACTATTTTGTTATTATATCGGTAAAACTTTAGTTAAAGCTTTGGCTCATTTTGTGATAATTCCATATGCAACAATGAAAGCTTCAGCTATTAATCACAACTCAACATATGCCGTCATAAGCCTAAAAACATTTTAATTGCCATCACCCTACAACAAATCATTTAAATGTAACAGTATTCAATACAGAAAAAAACTATGGAAAATTAATGTAAGAAACATAGTAATTATAATTGTGTTTACTATAAATAACACTTGTTATAAAGGTCAAGCCTAAACAAATTAATTTAAAGGGAAGCCAGAACTAGCTGAGTGAATGAAATGTACTGTACTCATGTTTCTTTCTTGTTCGGCACCGATCCAAATGTGTAC